GTGTTAAGCATCTGACCACGCATGAGAGGGAGAGGCTGTTGGGGCTGCTGGGGGAATTCATGGACATCCTGGCTTATTACAGCGGCAGCCTTAGCCACCCCGAGATGAATTATTGTGTTACCAGACAGGAACTGTTAGCTGTCATCCTGGCGGTGCGGCACTTGAGGTCATATCTCCTGGGCACCAAGTTTGTGCTGAGGACAGATCATGCCAGCCTCACTTGGTTGATGAACTTCCGCCAGCCCAAGGGGCAAGTGGCGCGGTGGCTAGAGGTGCTCCAGGAGTATGATTTCGAGGTTCGCCACCGCCCAGGTCAGCAGCACTCCCATCGCCCCTGCGTGACTGAGGACTGTCGGTACTGCAGCTGCCTGGAGGAGCGAGACCAGGAATTGTCAGCGGTGGCGTGGCTGAGTGACAGCAACCAGGCTCAGGAGCCATTCACCCGGGAGCAGCTCGAGCAGCAGCAGCAGGCCAATCCCGTGCTTCAGGAGGTCCGGAGTTGGGTCGAGGCTCCAGCACGGCCGGAGTGGGCCGCCGTGTCTGCCGAGGGGTCGGAGGTGAAAATGCTGTATGCACAGTGGAGCAGCCTGGGGCTTCACGACGGCCTCCTCTACCAACGGTGGAGAGCCCCATGCCAAGGGGCTGACCGCCTGCAGTTGCTGATCCCCTCCATGCTCCGGTTGACGGTCCTGCGCTGGGTTCACGGAGCGGCTGGGTCGGGATTGCAGCAACACGAAGCCGGTGAGGCGGCTGCGGCAACGTTTCTACTGGCCGGGGTGTCGCCAAAAGGCCGAGCTGCACATCCACTGCTGTGATATCTGCACGGCGCAGAAGGGGCCCACGCGACACTCTCAAGCTCTGTTGCAGCAGTATCTTGTGGGGGCTCCCATGGAGCGGATCGAGGTGGACATCCTGGGGCCGTTCCCTACCACAGAGGCCGGCAACCATTACATCCTGGTGGCCATGGATTATTTCACCAAATGGCCCGAGGCTTATGCGGTGCCGGACCAGAGTGCAGCCACTACTGCTCGCTGTTTGGTGGATGAGATGTTCGCCCGGTTTGGGGTCCCGGAGGAGCTGCACAGTGACCAGGGGCGATTGTCATTTGGACATCACTAGCTAACACTTCATAAAGTATCCCACCTCAAATAGAAAACATGAATTTGGACAACTGTGTTAACAACAAAGCACCTGCGCGCTGCCTACATACAGAACGCAACACATGAAATGTTTACTGTGATTTTCTAATGCGACCCACCTGAGTTGTAGAACAGCTACCGCTGTCAGGTATCTTGGACCTCCACTACAACAAACTTACAGAACCACCACCAGAAACTAACTTGAAGAGCCCAGCTACCACCTGATTGGACAATTTGACTCTGCTCTGTGATTGGACTGTCACTGTCCAATCAGATTCAGGTGTGATTCACACTAAACCTCACTACTTTGTACACAGATGTTCACAAACACACTTGTTTTCAGTGTCTTTGTGTAACATAATTTGTTTACAGATTTTATTCACACATTCAAAAATGCTTTTACGTACACATCTTTCCTACACGCTCACAAAAACTGTGACTATGTACATACATTGCTATTTGTACCATTAAATTGCCATTCATTTGCAGTAGTGGGTCACACTTGTTAAGATTGGTGTAATGCTGTGTGCCACCACTAAAGGGCATCCTTACTGTGTGCTGAGGAGAAGGAACAGGAAAAAGAAAAGTTATAAGACATGTTTCAGGCTTTTAGGCAAAACTGTGGCTTATTCCTACCATTTGTTTTTTTTTTAATAAAATCTAAAAACCAGTAATATTTACTATGAATAAAGAGGAGTTTCAAATAAATACAGATATAAATGTAAGAATTTACTGTTGGATACCAAATCACAAGATGGAGACCATTCTTCCCACAGATGTATTAAGGGGAAAAGATAGGACATTTTTTCAATGTCTGTATTGTGAGAATGTTTTTTCATAATGTTAATATATTTATTTTCCCCACTGAATGTTGCTCGCCTGGTGCACACGGCAAATTTGTTTTTCTTCCAGGGTTGCTTCCACGTTCTGGGGTCCACTGCACATGCACACTAGGGGGCGGTGGGGAACAGCGGCTGAACTTTCTCAGGCTCCAGCATTGAAAATTCTGCCGTGCACACACTGACAAAGTAAAACTCACATGCAATTACAAACACACCTTTCATCTAGACACGCTTTTATTAGCAGATGGAAATCGCCTCAAGGCGTTTTACAAATGATAAACACATTTATTAGCACTTTTATTCTATTATTTCAGACTCTGTGTGCAAGTACATGCACATGTGTGTCTGTGGATCTGTTCATGTTTGGGTGCTTAAATGGCTCTGCCCAATCCAGCTTCACCGGCCCCTGTGGAGGGTTGACCATGTCCATCCAGTGCTGCCTCTGGCGTACATGAAGGGCCCTAACACCAGCACTCCCAGTAGGACTGGAGGCTCTGGGAGAAATATATATGAATATCACTGTGTCAGTGTTTCGGATCTTATCTGCAGCAACATTAGGGGGGTGGCCCCTGCCCCCTATTGGCAGACAGTGATCAACCTTGATGTCTATTGTTTCAGTGTGTGGGCTTGTATGGAAAACAGTGCGTGCAGGTTTTTTGATTTACATCGTATGCCATCTGTGTCTGTGGCCCTCAACAGTAAAACATTAGTGGTGTGCAAATAATACAGAACAAACAAGTACTGGAAACCTCATTTAGACAAGCCTGGAGCTCTTATTAGTATATAAGTATTCACAACTTTTGTGGAAAAAAAAATACTCATTAACAGTACTTATAAATGCAGGACATATATAATATATTTAATTCAATTCCAGTGGAGCTTTACAGCTCATTTCCAGTTATGTCTGCTGGTCAGTCTGCAGGCCAGGGCTTGTGGGGTCGGGTGGGGCTCTGGTGCTGGGCCTTTGGACTCCCCTAAAAGACAATATGAAGAACAGGGTTGAGTTTTAAAAGAGGAATTAGCTGTTTTCAAAGTGAATACATTCTGTGGCTTATTTATTATGCACACATGTACAGTGTAAGGCAGTTCAATACAACAGCTTCACTGTCAAATCTATCTTACAAAGCATAATGCTTTTTATAGAGTTGTTCATTCAATTACACATTTTAGCATTGAGGTCAGAGATGGTGTTGTACTAGGGTACATACTGTATATTTGGAAAGGTGTTTCTAATTTTTCAGTTCCCTATTTACATACATGATGGGAGAAGAATATTAAAAACACCTCAGTATAATGCAGTCCAATCACTAACTATAGCCTCAGTGATAACTGAATTAACAATTCTCACACTATTTTCAAACATCGTAATAACGGTAATGCCATCTAATAGAGACTACAATCTGCAGGAACTGGATAACACCTTAAGGGGGCAGCAGTGCTCCTTCAGGCAGTGCTGCCCACACCCAGAGTAAAGCTTGGAGAGCTTCTGGTCAACTGACCCTACCCACTTTTAATACAAGAGACATTGCTCACTGTATAGTAATGTTTGTGACTGTGACCTGCACTAACTCCAGCCTGTCTGCATGACATTTTCCAGCAGATTTAAAACCTTTAAGCTTGTGGCCCTAAAATGAACCACTGCCACACAAAAAGCAAGCACCAGCCAAGACTGCATCACAGCTAAAGATAACTACCCATTTGCTATGAGCTAGGTCAAATTTTGGGACTCCATTTCACTCTGCAAATTTGTTTTTCCCTGTAGTTTTTTTAACTATACCGTTAAAAGGTGTATTATTTACCGTTAAATAAAATAGATTTTTACACAAAATTACAGTCATGCTATCAGTTGGATTTACAATACGCGACCATTCACCCAAACTGAGATTGTTTAGAAAGTCCCTATTGGGCCTGCAGAGACAAGAATTAATTTAGCCCATTTCCATAGAAGAAGAGGACTTACCATAGCAGTTGGGGTCTTGGCATAGTTCATATGGGCATAGAGCAGCACCGCTGTGTCGTTGTGGGACGCCTCCAGTGCGATAGAGAGAGCGTTGCTGCCATCCTGCCGACAGAGGAGGAAAGACAGGTGAGTTCACTTACCCAAACACAATTGAGTTTCTAAGAAATACCTTTACAGTTTCAGTTCGACATTGTGATCATCCTAACGAGTGGCTTAAACATTTATGCTGTGGCATGACATAAACCTAATTATAAGGAGAAACCGTTTCATTCATACAACATCCCAAAGCAAAATAAAGGGTTATGAAAGTCTTGACTATAAAAAAGATTTAGCGCTGACAGTAAACTATTCAGTACAGATGGATGATAAAGGAAAATCACAAATGAGTGGAAATTTAAAAAAGATGCAGGAGTCACTGATTAAAGTGCTGATTATTTATCTTTTTTATTCTCAGAATGTCAAAACTTAAACGCCCTTTTTGACTTTCTTGAAATGTCTTTCCAACCAAAAGGTAAATCAGTTTATCTTCATGTGTGACAAAGAAAATTATCAATTTATCTCATTTAAAAAAACAGAAGATGTTGGTGCTAATTGCAGCTCTAGGTTACTGAAGGGCTTAATGAGAAAGTGTGTTGAATACAACGAGGGAATATGTTTTGGAAGGACGATGTTTCCTCTCTCCAACAGAGGGAAGCTGGGCTGGAGACACCTTTTGGTAAAGTGTGCGTTCCTTTAATTTGTCACCCATCTTATCTCCACTGTCTTAAAGCCATTGTTTATCCTGCTGTCATGTTTTCAGGGAGGACAAGGGAGGTGGGGGCCCTCCAAATATTTTCCCACCTTCTCCAGTCCAGCTGTGCTGTACTGAAACACAATCCAGGAGTCCAGATTAAATGGCCAACTCCTTCTAGCACAGATGTGAACACTCATATCTGTGCCTGGCCTGTCTTCAAGAGTCCTGACCAGTCCAGTGTAAAATCACCATAAAACATACAGCTGTGCAGTCATAAAAAGCAAGAAACATCCCAAGCACAGATGAGAAGAGTTTCAGGTAAGAAAAGTTTAGGAAAAACCTTGACAGAATGATACATCTCCTACAGTAGTCTCCGATCTTCACCCTTCCATACAAATGCACATTGTTCTGGGAAATGAACAGTTGCTGCTTGCTTGTGTATGGTTATGTGGTGAAGTATGAAGAGGATTAGTGCCGGAGCCAACAAGTTTGCTGTTTTTAATTCATCCCCTGGCAGCTTGTTAGTAGCCCAGTGATAGTCCTTGTGGAAACAGCACGGATCAGAGAAAAAAAGCAGATGTTAGAAAGAGGTGACAAGGAGTGAAAACTTAAGGCCAATTTGCTGTGGTGTTTCCTGATCACAGATTATGCCGAATCCCAGATGACAAAATAGCCAGATGTCAGCGGCTCTCTGATAGTTTCTTTCACTAGCTGTGGTTACATGGACAGTATTTTTTCAATCAGATTAAAATCAGAGGTGTTCCCAATATTCCTACCTCATGTATGTAACCAGAGAGGACACGCATATAGACACACCTCTTAATATAATGTAGTCCACTACAACTCCACCTTTAACTGTGACCTCAATAATAAACATATAATTGAATGTATACATTGATGCCAGTTTCACCAAAAAACATTTTGAGCTTCATAAACACTGATGTGTCGAAGTGTTGCATTGAAGTGCGTACAGGTGCAACTATTAATGTGGCCAGGCAGTGTATCACTAACCTGCTGATTTACAGGCAAGCTCTGCAGTGTTCCAACCCCTGCATTATCTCATAATTATGAGATAGTGAGTCATAATTATGAGAGATAAGATCCTTTTTTCCCCCCTTTGGATGCAGTGCACTTCCATATTCAATAGCAGTTTACAAGGACCCTGATATTCCACTACTAATCAGAACAATAGCCCAGTCAGAATAAAAATCCATCATTTAACCACCTTGGCTGAAACAGATTGGCCCAATCCAGCTCGATTCATAAATGAGTGCATCAACTAAATGAGTAAAATAAAAATAAAAATAAACTTACATTATCCACGATGGATATGTCGCAGCCAGGCTGTTCCAGGAGCAGTTTGACGATCTCAGCTCGACCATGTTCACTGGCACACATCAGAGCCGTCGATCCCTCGTCATCCTGTGCGTTAACGTCAGCCCCACACTCAAGCAATGCCCGCACCATCTCCTGACGCCCGTGGCTAACAGCTAGCATCAGTGCTGTCTGGCCAGCCTGCAGAGGTAAAGCATTATAAAGATATATGGTTTTTGAAATGCACAGGTTATCCCTTAAGCAATGAGAAGATGTGCAAAATGTGATTTAACACATAAGCCCCTGTTCCAAAAACTAAACTTAAAAAAAGGCCACAGAATATAGTATGACGTCCTGACTCTAAAATTTCATTGCTTGCCTTGTGTTTTCTCCCTCACTGCAACAATAATAATCGCCGGTAACAGGATTTATAGCCAGTGTTGGCCATAAATTTAGAGTCCCATGACTTGGCACTGTGAGAGCCTGTAGGTGCCGTGTCCAAACACACACACATTATGCAACCTACTTAGATCAACCAGGGAGATAAATCCATTCAGTCTCACAAATGACTTGTCACATTAGGCTTTACATTTGCTTAATAGAATTCAACCCGTAAGCAATTATTCCTCAAGTCTCTGGCTGTCTATGTAGCACTTCCTTACAACACAGAAGTACTCGTAACTGAAATCATTAATGCAAACAGTGGACAAAAACAGGCATTATCTGTAGAACGACGTTTTTCCTTTACATTCTCAAAACAGCCTTGAGCCTGTAGTAATTTAACTCTATTTGAGTCACTTTAAACCAGCAGGACAAGGTGAAAGCCAAGTTTACATCAGACAATTCACTCTTAAGTGATAAAATGCTTCTGGATAATGGAGCCTACTGCAGATTCACACAGACTCCTGTTCTCTTTGAACACATTGCTTTTTCGCAGTTCTCAGTTGATACTTTTGAAGAACTTTATTTTTGCATAGCAAATTAATTTAGCACTTGTGACAAATATTTTCACTTTTTACAACCATTTTTTTGTTCAGCTACGAGACCGCAATTTTTATTTTAACCCTTGTGTTCTGTTAAGAATCTTAAACAGGTCAGACCTACAAGCAAAAAATTACAAGTGTATTAAAGGAAATGACTGAAAAGTAAAATGACTGTGGGAACACAGAGGTAAAGAATAAGTGGCACATCCAGTTTAAGAGCATTCTGAACTGTAATGGACTGCTAATGACTTGCCTGACTGGCCTTGGCGTTGACATTGCCTTGCCTGAAAAGCTTCTTGACTATAGCCATGTCCCCCTCTTCCTTCACAGTAGAGAGCGCAGCCAGCATGATGGCAGTGTAGCCTGCCTTGTTCTGCTTATCCACACAGCACACACCTGTAGAGATCATGTTTTTCTTTTTTAAATTGTGCATTTAAAAAGTTCATTTATACAAAACATGTCACTACTTCCATATAAATGTGCACATCTTGCTAATTTGTGTACATCAAGTTAAAAATAATGCAGTCTAGTACAACAATCCTGCAGTAAACCCTGATACTCAAACTGTTTTCTAAAGATGCTCATAAAACATATGGTAATTTTGGGCAAGGTAGTTGGTGCTGCTGTTGAACTATATTACATTGTAGAGAGGGGTTTGTTATAAATAGGGTGAACAAAACATTTATAAACAAATATACTGGCAACTAACAGTCAGTGGGTCCTCTTTGTTAGTCAATATATAGCTCGGATGTGTGAGCCAGTGGTTCTTTTGTCTCTTTTTCTATTTTTATGCAAGTTGAATAAACGAGATACAAGATGTTTTGACAGCACAAGCCCAGCTGTTCCCCCCTCTTCCTAGTGTCCATGTACTGGGCAAAAAGAAAAATCATTCAAACTAAGGGGGTAAAACAGCAAACGGATGTATTTCTTAATAATGCTGAATCAGGCTTTTGCATAATGTGATGGGTAATGCTTCTCTCATTATTTTGTCTTCACAGCCTTTACACAGATTGAATGGTCCAGCCTTATTCTCAGGGCCAACACAGAACAACAGGAGAACCGGTAAATGAATGGCTAAACAACAGCAGAATAATAGGCTGAGTAATTCTTCGCTGAAGATGCTTGATCCCTGACCTGTGTCCAGCAGCAGCCCAACCACACCGAAGTTGGAGTGGGAGACGCTATAGTGGAGAGCCGTGTTGCCGTTTCCATCAGTCATGTTAACTATGTGCTCCAGCAGTGCTGACGACACTTCGGAGAACGCCATCAGGTAGTCAGAGACCCGGGAAGGCTGAGCCATCTTGGCGCTGGAGATGCGGAACCACTCGAGCTGGACAGTGTGGGTGCTGGAGAGCTGAAGATGAAGGTGGAGAGTCATTGAAGTGCACGCGCATGAGAAAACCAGAATCCAAGGCAACTGGAGAGACTGTTCTCTAATGGCTACAAGCATGAACTGTCTTAATAATCTTTATTTCTCATTCAGGTTTTGCCATAATTTGGGACTAAAGAGAACTGTACATAGTTTATCTTGCCAAAGTCAAACAGTATTTGTCTCAAGTGCACAGGCTCAACTCCTGTTAATGTTACTTGACGTTCTTATTGTTTCAGATTGTTTACTGGTGCCAAAAATATCCTCATACAATAAAACAGTCCCACAGCTTTCATCATCTTATTGCAATAGTTAAAGTGCAATTCAATGATAAAATAAGTTGGACGTACCACTTCCTTACTCTTCAGTGTTTGTACGTCATCATTCAGGTGGTTTTTCAGAATAAGACAGGCCTCACGCATTTTTGAGCTCAGCTCAAATCTGTGACAAAAACACACGGGTGAAGTTAAAGCAATTTCCTGTTTCCCTTTCTTTGCATTACAGTTGTACAGTAAAACTCTGTCATCTATCACGGTGTGATAGCATCCACATTAATCAGGAAACTATCTTAGCCTGTTGTCTGTAGTTCCCTGAAACTGAAACCATCACTACAGCAATGCAACACCCTACTTCTCTTTGACAGCATCAGATGAGCAGTCCACGGCTCTCAGGGTTTCCTCGTCAGTGTCACTCTCATCCAGGTTGATGTTTCTCTCCTCCTCAGATGTTTCCTCCTCCAGAGCTGCCTCATCCTCTGTGCTGTCCAAACATTCGCCTTCTCCACTTTCTCCAGAAGAACTCTTGTCTTCTTCCTCCTCCTCTTCCCCTTCTTCTTCACTTGATGTAGATTCATACCTGAGGGAGACAAATATCAGCTAGAATAAAGAGAACACAAATTCCCAACTGGTGCATATCACATTTTAGGGACTTAGCTTATGTTTTTATTTTTTCCAAAAGCAACTCTGTGGTTTTTAGAGAATGAATATTGTTTCTCTGACCTGTTATTGTTGAACTGTTATTTCTAACCTTGAGACCTTCTGCTGCCCTTATTTTATTTTTGGTGTGGTAAAAATAAAAGTTTGGTTTCACGTTACCCACCCTCCATTTAGAATACCAACAAACTGCAGGCTCTTCTTGCAGACGGTGCAACTCTCAGTAGAGGTGCTCCCATCCTTCCTCTTCATGATTGACTTTAGCATACCTGATGCAATGAGCCAAACACGTGGATCAAATAAAGTACACCGGAGAAACAGAAACCTCACACATGACGTAAACAAAATTATGTCGCGAGTCTCTATTGCTGGAGGATGTTGTCTATTTCTATTCACAAAGGAAGTTATTATAAAACCAGTTTAACAAAAGTGCACCTGAGCGGGTACTGCGTTATTTTATGTGATATCTGAGTAACTTCTACAAAGTTTCATGGGAAGAACTCATTTGTAAGTATTTATATTTTAATAAGTTCAATTAGTAATTACTAGTGTAACCTACTTTTAGTAAAAGTGTCCATTAAAGAATTAATAACTGCTTGGTTTTAAATCAGACTGTTCTTCTTTATTTCTCTTATAAATACATTATACTGTAGTCTTTAGTTATTCCTAGACTATCTAGTGACGTTCTTTGAAATCATGAAGCTGTAAGTTCTCACCTGTCTTGGTGTTGCTGGCTGCAGTCTTCTCTCCTTGGTCTCCTTCCCTCTTGGCCGTACGGACCACCACTTCCTCTGGACAGACCTTGTATTCAGCGATGGTCAGCTGTCTCTTCTTTGGCACTGTAACTTTCTGCCCGTCAGTCTTTTCCTCATTCACATTCTCCCACTGACACCCAGTACTGACCAGTGCAACAGGAACTGGTTCTGCCAGTTTTTTCTCTACAGCATCAGTCTGGGTGCCCTGCTCGATCAGAGTTGCTGGTAAAATATCGCCTACAGATGCGTTATTTACTTCTGGACGGCACAAAACTGCAGCGTGCCTTAGCACAGAAGTCAGTGTCTCTACCTGAGCATTTGCTGTGTCTGGTCTTGCAAGAACTCCCTTCTCAGACATGACTTTGGAAGCTCTCTCTTCCATCTGGGCTCTAAAGATCCCTAGCTCTTTGTCGGCCACACGCAGCCGATCCTCTAAGGCCACAATGGACTCCTGCTGGAACTTAATGGTGTCCTTTAAAGTGTCCATCTCCTGCTGTGTTTCACTGCTAAGCCCAAGTAGTGACTCCATGACCCAAACCTCTGCGTCTTCCGTCTCCAGCCTGGCCTGTATCCCCTCCTCATGAACCAGAGGGGACTGTGTCCCAGTGCCTCTCTCACAGACATTCACCCTGGTGCCCTCAGAAGCATCTTTCATGCCCTGGCTGTAGTAGAATACAACAGAATCCATGGGCATGTTGTCCCCAACAGCCACAGATTTTTTCTCAACAAATGAAACTTTCTCTGGAGCCTTTAGTAACACTTTTGACGAAGGCTCTGGGGTTTTCCCTTCCTTCCTCTCAAATTTCTCCGCCAGCCTTTTCAGCTCACTAGATTTTCCAAGGCCTCTGTGACTTGGTGAAGTCAACTGACTCTGGACATTGTGATCTGTTTGAGTTAGAAGGGTCTCTGTGGTTTGGGTGGAGGATGTTGTAGACTGTTGCTTCTGCTGGGCCATGTCCATAGCCAGTTTCTTCTCCCGCAAGGCTAACAAGAGCATGTCTTTCTCTGCCCGAAGCTTAGACACTTCTTTCTCAAGCTCAGGTACACCCTTCACCCTTTCCTCCATCTCCTTCAGCTGCTTCAGGGCTATAGCCATCTGCTCTCTAACTGTCTGCAACTGGCTGGGAGGGATCGGAGTCACTGTGGTGCCAGCAGCTGGAGTACTGCGCCCTGAGGTCTGAGGACTGGGTTTAGTCCAACTACTCTGCAAAGTTTGAGTGGAGGGAGAGGGTAGCAGCTGTTTGGGTGGATCTGCAAGCTGGAAGCGGCCCCCATTCTGTTGCTGGTCAGTTTGCTCCTGCTGTAGCCGCCGGCTGGTTTCCAGAAGCGTCCGCTCGACTCTGGGGTTGCGCTGCGGAGGCGGCGGTGGCACCTTGGCCCCAGCAGACAATGAAGGGGCAGTGAGAAGGGTCACAGGAGACAGAGAAAGCCCCTCACAGGGTGCAGACCCAAGGCGGTTGCGTGGTGGCGGTGGGGGAGGAGCCCTGCCATCCTCGCTTGCTGTGGACGACAGAGACTCTGTAGATGTCCAGCCACTTGTGCGTCCTCCCACACCTGGACTTCTCTGGTAGAGTTTGCCCCCTCTAGAGCGACGGGAGTTCACAGGTGCCCGACGGAGATTGTGCCCACTTTCTATGTCCTCTACATATTTTAGGAAGTCCAGATCCAGGTGGAAACCATATGGGGTCTGGACAGAGTAGGAACCTGGCTGCTCAGCCTCTTCCTGACGCGAGTAGATGAATACTGAACCCAGATCTGAAGCAAGAATGACAGGTGAGAACATGGAACTTAAAAATACCCTGTGATGCCCTTGTAAACAACCAATTTACTACACACAAACAAAATTGTTTACAGGGATTTGTTTCTATACATTGTGCATTCACTCACTATGCGAGTCCTTGAGGTCTAACAAATGTGAGCAGAGACTGACTAAAGGTCTGAGAAGTGAGCCTGTGGCGCTGCGTATGCTTCTCCCTCACCAGGACATTCATTCAGGACATATCTTAGATCAAAATATTACTGCTTCACAAAACAACATAGATAATAGTTTTGGAGTTTCTGAGCTGCTTAGTTTTATTTACAGTACAAAGAAAATAAAAACCTCAAGTTTTAAATATATTTTGTTTCCTACAGTTAACAGCTTCCCTGGCACCATGTGAACAGTGTAGTAACAATAAATTGAAAAACTATAGCACACAGCAAACCTCATCCCAGAATATTCACATTGTCACAGTTACAAAATAAACTGGAAAATGAGGTGGAACAAAAACAGTTTCTTACCAGGCAACTTTGGGTTAACTTGCACCGACTGAGCCATTTTTCAGGACTGAGACCTTTCAACAAATGCGCAGCTTCAAATTAACACCTGGTTAAAGAAAACAGTGACACATGCATTTATCATGAATGCGCTTAAACCAAGAAGGAAAAGGTACTTTCCAAAACACTCCACAGTAGCTTGCTAAAAACACTGTAGTCTATCATTTGTCAAGCTTTACTGTGTCTTGACTTTATATTAGTGATTTTGTCTGCAAGCATCAACATCACATGCTCCTCATCAACATATTTTGTTAATAGAAGAGACGGCTTCACACAACAAGACACAAAATCAGCATAACTTCTAAACAACCTAAATGGCTCCATGCTCTCTTTTTAATGGTGAATGCAGATTACACTTTATAGGGGTTATAAACTTACTACAAAAGTGTAGAAAGGCTTGAAGACGTGTGTGTTTTCCTTATGGCTTGTTAGCACACGACAGCCTGTGACTGAATTCAAAAGAAGGTGAAAGCCCCTTTCTCAGAGATAAGAGAGGTTTTGTTAACTGGATCTCTTGTTTGTTTTTTCCTGACATCATGCATACCTCAGGGAGCGTGTCTGTCTACATCTGCTACTTTTAAGCTCTTGACTTCCTTTCTAGTGAAAATCAGACCTTTCAGAGGAGCAGCACTGTAGCACAGACTTTTTTTTTTTACGGCAACATTATTACATGTCACTAAGAGTTAGGATACATGCCTTAAGCGCCAGTGGATTTATGTGTAGAAATTAATGGCAGACGGTGAAGACAGCAGTCAGGGGAAAACACCTCAGGACAAAGTCAACAAAGAGCTGAACATTGTCCAAAAACCACAAGACAGCTGCTCCATCAGCAGCATCATCATCACACCATCGAGCTCTACTGAAAAACCACCACCATTATCCTCACCACAAAAACTCTTCTAAAACCTGCCATACATATGCTTCACTAGGAAATTGGTTACAGTATCTCCTCTAGGCATAATGCCCATTTATTCAGACATACAAATGAAAAATCTGAAATGCTTTTCTTTGGCCGTTTAGCTACAGTAGCTCTCACTGCTCCTGTTTGTCCCAAACAGACAGGAAACATAAAACACTACTTGT